TCACTAAGAAAAATCAATATGAAAATTGCATACTTGCTGCTTGTTCTCCTTAGAATATGGTAGCATTGTTGAAACATGAAACATAATCTCATGCCCTTGGTACACTGTGTAGACAGAGCATATTCCTGTTGTATCATCTGCAATAAAAAAAGAAGTACTCTCAGCTGACTTATGCAATACCGGCAGCCAAAGGGGAAAAGGAATTTTCGATCCTATTACTGAACATCCTCAGATCAGTTCCTTTTCCAATTCACCCTCTCTCACTAGTTTATTGTCTGTTTTCAAAATAGGTTGAAGTCATTTATGTTTTTCCCATACTGAATAACTTAAATTGTACATAAAGGCAAACTATCAAAAGTAGAGCTATGTCGAAATGAATATGCCTGCTAGCAGGTCCAGTCGATTTACCCTTACAGAATATTTCAACTGGAAAAATACTACTGTACTTACCAGTATTTTCAAAGAAAGAACTTTTTTTCTTCATTCTGCCTTTCAAAAAAAAAACCAATCAGTGCATCTAATCTGGGGGCATGGTGAATGTAAAAAAATATGGCAGCTAAATCTGAATCTTTTTAGTGTGTACAAATCTGTTATACTATTTATCAACCTGGATTCTATTACCATAACACAAAACACGGGCCTTGTTCACAATAGGAAAGAGACAGTCCAGGAGGAAACAACACAGATTTGCAAGACCTAAAAAGGATGATAGGCAGACAAGGTTCTTTGGGTAGATGTGATATCTTTTATTAGACAGACCAAATAGTTGGAAAAAATTGTTCTTTGCAAGCTTTTGGGCACAACCAACACTTCTTCAGGCACAACCAACAACCCTAAAAAGGATTAAGCTTTTATCGTAGAAATTCTTCAAATTCTAGACAAGGGGTTGGCAACATTTTTGGCCCCAACCGTGACCCACGCCTTGACTTGGTGTGCCACAGACAGACAGCAGGGAAGCAGCAGGGGGACCACTCCTCAAAAAATGCTGGCAGTGGGTACACGTGCACCTTCAGGCGGAAAGCAGGGGAGAAGCCAGGATTGTGCTGCCCCAGCCCCTTCCCCACCACATGCCCTGAGTTGCATGTGCACCTGCCACTGCTACGGAGCTGGTGACGGGGCTCCGGACCCCAGTGCAGCTGTTTGCAGCCTCCCTACTGTCTGCTGCAGCTGCCCAGGTCAGCTGTGGCAGGTAGCCAGGAGACTTCAAGTGGCCGCAGTGGGTTCCAGAACCCCAGCTGGGCTCCTTGGCAGTAGTGGCTGCACTTGCACCTCGGGGCGCACAGCCAGGAAAGGGCCTGGGGACGCGCAACCCCAGCCCCTCTCCCACCGTCTGCCCCAAGTCACGCGTCCAGCAGCCACAGAGCTTGGTGCAGCAGCTTCCAGCCTCTCAGCTGCCTGCTCCAAGCAGCCCAGGCTCCATAGTCAGTGGCAGCTGCCCAGAGCCCAGGTTGGCTGTGGCATGCCTAGCAAAATGCCTCACGTGCCATGCTCTGGCACGTGTTTTGGGGGTTGCTGACCCCTATTCCAGACAGCGTGAGGAGGTATAGTGACATATTGGGATAGGAACACATGCTGGAGGACAAAAGTCTAATGCATTATTTCCTTATTAAAGGCAGTGTGGTGTCATATTAACATGCTTGTCCATGCGTGCCGCCCCCTCCCACCACCCCCAGCACGGTAGAAGAATAGTATTGAAGGAACTTTTAAGGAAGTATAAAATAGCAGCCATGGGAGTGTAAGAACAAGAACAGTGCTGCTTCCAATTCAGGTGTAGGGGAAAAAACAAAGGGTCTGAATAAAGAGAGAAAGAAACAAAGAAACAAAAATATTTAAAACTTATTTTTTAATTATCATAAAAATGATAATTTATTGTTTTATGTAATTTTTATGATACATTTAATTATCATAAAAATGTATACCATACTCTATAAAGATTACCAAAATATTCCATCCCTGAAGATCTTAAAATGGAAATAGACCAAACAAATCACTCTGCAGTAATTTGGGGGAGAGAGATCTAAGGAAAAGTAAGAGGAAAGGGACTGCTGGTGGAGGTGGATTAGAAGGAACGGTAGTTTTCTTGGCAGGCAAAGGGGAGTATTTCAAGTAGACAAGACAGAATGAAAAAGAGCTCTAAGTTGAGAGTGAAAAAGCAGACAAAACAGCAGTAAACTAAGGGATTCAGAAGAACATAGAAGGAAGCAAGAAAAAATTGAAGTAGAGAATATAGCTGTGGAAACTGACTACAAAAGAGTTTCTAGGTAAGGTTCTTACAGCTATATAAACCCTGAACCTGAGGCTACAGATCTGTAATCCCTGTTTAAACCAGATTTCACACCATCTAGTTTGGCAATTCCTTGTCCTGCAATTTCCCTTTCAGGTCAGTTTTTAAAGTTTTGCTGCCTAGGAACAACAATGCTGAGGTCAGCAATGAAATCTCCATTCTATATGCTGCTCTGTGCACCCTTTCACAGCATCTGATGAAGTAAGCTCCAGCTGCCCAAAACCTTATGCTATATATATTAGAGATATAACTAAATGTATCAATCTATAATGATAGACAGAGAGAGATGGAAACGACTAATTTAGTCTATAGGTTCAAATCTACTCTACCTTCTACACCAGGGGCGGGCAATTATTTTGGCTGGAGGGCTGCTTAACAAATTTGGCGAGCTGTTAAGGGCTGCATGGGTAGTCCCGCCTCTTGACAGTTGCCCAACCCCCTCGTCGCCATATTGGGACCAGAAGTCTGCCCCACTAACCCCATACCTTTGCCACCAGGAGTCCCTCCCCTTGCCCCCCAGAAATGGGAGGGGGTTTGCCATGTTAGAACCAGAAAAAAACACAAATCATACACTAGACGTCAAACACATACTATAACATATTTTAATTTTATTACAAAAAGTATCTGGCATGATTTGTGTACTGTATATAGAAGGGATTGCATAGTAACTAAAAAATAAAGTCTCACTCTTTTATACTGTGTGTCGGGGTATATGGTGGGGTGTGTGTGTGGAGGCATAGGGTGTGTAAATATGTCAGTGGGAGATGTGAGGGCAGGGTGTGGGTGTGTGAGATTTGTGGGGTGTGGGGAACTCCCCCACATTCCCCAACATGGCACACAGCCTCTGCTGCCAGCAGCAGCAGCAGGTAGGGGGGCTCAGGGAGCTCATGCCCAGCGCAGGCACTGGTGCCCAGCAGGATGTGGGCTCCAGGCAGTGCTACACACAGGGGTGAGAATCTCAGCCTGCCTGGCCGCCTCTATCATGGGGGCTCTGTGTCATGCACCTGCAGCTCCTGCACTCCCACAGGGGAAGCCCTGTGCTGGACTCCACAGGGAAGCAGGGGACAGGACTCCCTCTACTCTGGGCAGAGTCTGGGGACCTGTGCAGCAGGGGGCGGGGAAGGCAGCAGGCTCCAGTGTGGGGCTTCCCCCATTGCAAGTGTGGGAGCTGCAGGCACGCTGTGGTAGAGGCAGCAGCAAAAGCAAGCTGGGAACCGCAGGCCTGGGCTGGCTCCTACTGCATTCTGTGATCCCAGCGTTGCAGCCAGGAACCAAACAACACAGCACAGCTGGGCACCTCCCGGCAGCATGCTGTTCCTGGCTGCTGGGCCATCCCTGGTGGGGTGCGAATCGGGACAACTGTCCCAGGCCCCATGGAGCTGGGCGGACCAGCAGCAGTGTGGACCTGGGCAGAGCGGCGGCTCCACATCCAGCCACTCGCTGT